CACAGCCCGGAAGACCCACACCAGCCATTGTATTCTGGCTGTGAAAGCCTTCGACAATACATTTGTTGGAAAAATAATGCAATTGAAAAACCAGTCTTTCTGATGCTGGAAAAAGTAATTTCATATCCATGTAGACCTAACTACATTTTTTTTGCAGTTTTTCACTGTAATTTTTGCCACGGATGCCAAGAAAGTTGAACAGTCAGTGTGTCCTCCCCCATTTGTCCTCCTTTCCAATTGTCTATGTCCTCTTTGCCTGTTCAGATATCTGGTAATCCTAGATTCACGTATTAAAGCCATCATTTAATATATTGTAATTAGCCACATATACACAACATAAATGCTAGGCTAGTTTGTAGTTCAGTGCATTGTGCGAATCTAATCATCTTAATTCAGTAAACCATGGTTTTATTAAACAGCTATGGCTTAGCCCTATTTACAAACCCAGTTTATACATACTGAAATAACTAAAGGTACTAAACCGACCTTTAATCTTAGTTTCGTTAAGTGGAGGATACACCATAGAGTTTAACAGCACTACCATCCAGGAACAGGGAACCACAGTTCATCCTGCATGCTCTCTTTTGTTTCGTAACGTCCTGATTTCCGGATTGCCCGCGATTACGCTAAATAAGGTCTCACACTAATCGACGTGATAGGCGTTTGACTTGATCGCGGGGCGTGGCAAAAAGAAGTCCTCCGGCGACGCGTGGGCGGATCTATGTTAATGACATATACTTTGCCTTCCGTGATTGGCTGCGTTGCTTTCCGATGAAAGCCGGGTAAAGTGGCGGGGTAGGCGCTGTGGTTTGACGCTGTCACGCCGCTCTCACGATGAGCCGTATTGGGGGGATCCTTGGCTGTGCTAGTCTTTCCGCGCTCCGTGTCTTGCTGCCCAAAGGCCCCCGAGCAGGTGAGCGACCTCTCTTCTTTCTGCAGAGTGTGAATGCAGCTGCGTAGCTGGGGTTTTTGCGGGGAGACGCGGCGTCTGGATTTGGAAGCTCGGGAGCAGGCGAGAGGCAGGGAGACTTAAAAACACTAGGACTCAAAGGGGGCGGAGAAGCGCGGGCTATGGAATAATAGAAAGAAAGATGTCGAGGGAACCATAATCCACTACTCCTTGTCCCTGCAGAAATATTAAGAAAAGGTAACTCCAGTGGAAGGATGGAGGCTATTTGGGAAGTGACTGCCCGGATTGGTTGCGCTGTGTCTCCCGTTTCCTCGAGACAAGCGCTCCTCCTTGGCTGGGACTGGGTGCATTTGTTTATTTGGAGGCGACCAAGTCGAGGAAGTTGGTCTAAATCGGGAGAAAGCCGGAGGGGGAGGCCTCGTCTATGGTTCCAGATGCGAAAAGGGGAGATGACCAAGTGCGGGTCCTTTGCCCTACAGTGCCTGAGGTAAAGATGGTGAGGGGTTAGTGATACAGGCTGCACTGTCTGTCTGCACAAGGAGGTTTTGCCGCATGGGGCTCCTGTGAAAGGGGAGTGCCCTTTCTCCCCATGTGCCTTGGCACACACTGTCATCTGAGCATTAAAAGTCTGTAGAGCAGGAGGTTGAGAATATGGCATGGCGCTGATGCTTATGCATTTCTGCCATGCCATTTTTAAGCAGAATGCTTATTTACCAATTAAAACATGCTGCCAGCTCCTGAGAGGCTCTGTATCATAATGTCTTGTTCGTAATGCTGGCATTATAGTCCTGGGCCAGGATAGTGTTGCCACAGTTGTGTGGTGCTGCTGATGCGTATTGATAAGATTTCCTGCGAAGGTAAGATGCAAACGTCTGTTCTGCATGTACCCTTTAGGTTATGAACTCTTATGTTATGTTATGTTATGTTATGTTATGTTATGTTATGTTATGTTATGAGAGTTAGTTTAATGAATCACAAACATAGGTGCCCTTAAAATAAAGAAAGGAGGAGCCTAAGAGACAGTGCTGCTTTTAGTCCAAATGGGCTATCAGAATTTTGGCAGGGGCCATTTGCACATCGGTCCTTGATCTTGGTGACATCAGATCAGGCTACGAAAGAGGGTAAGAAGCAAGTGATCACTGAGAAGTGGTCTGTTTCCAGGCGCATTATAAAGTGTTGGTGATGATCTACAAAGCCATAGATAAGTTTGCACAAGAAGGTTTAAAGATCACATACTTTTGTTAGATCCTGTCCAAAGTTTTGGAGGCCCTTCTCTATCACTTCCATAGGAGGTACATTTGGGGAATATGTGAGAAGCAAGGACCTCTTCCGTGGCCACACTCAGGCTGTGGAACTGCTTGCCAAGGAAAAACACATTAGCCTGATCTCTGCTGGCCTCCTGTTAGCAAGCAAAGACTGTGATTAATATAGCAGTGAGAACATCAGATGTATAAAGATTGATATCCCCCAGTTGATTCACTCCTGCCAGTATTTAGCCAAAGAAATATTTAATCCTTTCTCTTCTGAAATAAGTTTTTTTTCCTGGGAATTATAGCAGTTACTGTGCAAAATATCTGAAGGAAACTAATGTTGTCTGTTTCTGTTCTGTCACTTCCAACACTTCGTGACCCAATGAACATAATTTCTCCAGGATTGTCTGTCAGTAACTCCTTCTTTGAGTTCTTGTAAGCTCCTGCTTGTGTCATCACTGATTATATCTAGCCATCTTCTGTCAGCCTCTGTTTTGATTGCCTTCTATTTTTCAGAAGCACCAGGAGTCTTCTTCAATGACTCATGCCTTTGCATTTTGTGTCCAAAATATTTAAACTTTAGTTTCAGTTTTAGTCCTTCCAGTGAGCAGTCTGGGTTTGCTTTGTCTACTATTGAACAATTTATTCTTCTTGCGGTTCTCAACATTTTTCTTCCCCTAACATAAAGATGAATGTAAAATCTAAAAGGATTTATTCTCCGGTAAAAGATAAAGATTGTATGTGAAATACTCTTTTCTCCCATGACATCATTAATTTCTTAAAACCCAGAGGCGGAGAATGAATGACAGAAGCGGAATTGGTAAGGTTCTTTCTGTTAGCCAAGGACTTGGAAATTTCTTTGCATGTTGTATAGGAAAAAAATTGTCAATAACTGCCAAGGTTGTTGCACTGGAAAAAAGGGCTGTCACGTCTAGGCGTTCACATCTCTGATTAACTCATAGTGATCTCTGGCCTCTGGATTTTATTGCTGTAATGAATGCAAGATTTCAGACCAGCAGTACTGCTATTGTTAAAGTATCTCATAAGGATTAAGATTATGAATGCATTTACTGTCATAGATAAGCAAATTGTCAAGGGCATCTACAGTGCACTGGATAATATAAACCCTACAGAGTGTAAAGTCATGCAATGATACAATAACAAGATCATTCAGATGGATTCTATGACAATTAGGTGGCAATTATTGTTCAAAAAGTTAATTTTTATTTGAATGTTAATTTTTATTTGAATGTGCAGATAACATCTTTTAGCGATCTTAGATGGATTGCATATTTTGATTTTTATTCTTAATAGTTCAGAGCTTTCATAATGATTTGTAACTAACACCAGCTTGACTTTTTTATATTTCAGCTTTCTACCTGTTTTTAAACTTTTTCACATCTTATTTATAACATAAAACTATACAGAAATATAAATACATTTCAAAAATCAAACCAATATCTAAATATTACATTACGGGGCAAGAATAGCGGTATGGAATTGTCTTTCATTTACTTGCTGCAGAAGTTGATCCAAGGCTGTATTGGCAATAGTTAAGAGTAATGCAAAAGCAAGAATTATTGGATAAGACCCTGATCTTTAGAAAAATCAAAAGCAGTTATTGACAGACAAACCTGGTGAACTGATGTCCATTAGATCACTGAGTTGGCAACAACTGAGTAACAACAAAAAATTCATGTTAGTTGAATGAATTGGCTCGTTGTTGAGTCCAAAAATTGATGATATTCACACATAACACTAAACAAGAATTTTTAAAAAGTTATTGAACAGGCCATAATGGCCTGTTTGCACAAACAGGTAGTCTTTGACTTATGACCATTCATTAAATGACCGTTCGAAGTTACAGTGGCACTGAAAAAAGTGACTTACAACTGGTCCTCGCACTTATGACTGTCGCAGCATCCCTGCTGTCACGTGATCAAAATTCAGGCAGAATTCAGCATCCCGGGGTTACATGATCACTATTTGCAACCTTCCCAGTGGGCTTCCGACAAGCAAAGTCAATGGGGGGAGCCAGATTCACTTAATGACCATGTGATTCTTTTAACAACCACAGCAAAAAGGTTTTAAAATTGGGCATGACTCACTTAACGACCGCATTGCTTAGTGATTGACGTTCCAGTTCCAGTTGTGGTTGTAAATCAAGGACTATCTGTATCACTAATTAACAGTATAGCGGAAACAAAAGCATATGTTGTTTAATGCTCAAAGTATAATGTTTTGTCAGAATTTGTTCCAGTGGATCATGACTTGAAAGAGTGGAGTGTTTCAGCCACAGTAAATAGGGGGACCAATTTGTTCTTTATTTTTTACTTCAGGCCCCAAGAGTACATGGGATTGTAATCTGTGTTGCATGCTGTCTAATCCCAAATTGAGGGGATGGTTTTTAAAAACTTTAAAATAAATTCCCACTAAAAATAATGGGAACACTTCTGCTCTCATCCATTGAGAAACCTGCTTAGGTTCCATTATCAGCTTGTTCTTCACCTTGGATCCCTCAACCAACAGACTGTAGGACAAAGAAAGCAGTAATCTTGTTAACATTCCTTTTACATAAAGCATATCTTCTATCTGTTTTTCTTACCGATTTTTAAAAATGATCTTCTTGGCCTATTTTTCTCTGGGCACTGGCAAGATCAAACAGATTTGGCATGACTTTTTTCGGTGGGTGGCAGTCTGCTTGGCCGATACAAGCCTAGCAAAGGAAGTGTCTTGTACTATGGTCGTGTTTTTGCTTGCATGTAGAATTGCTGGTGCAACTGTTAGTAGTTCTTTTCTTGAATACTGTTAATAATGCATGCCAGAGCTAAATAAACCTGCCCAAATTAACATAGAATCTTTGTATTTTTAAAGGAATTTTGAAGCTCAGTGGCAGGAGGGTATTAGCGCATGCACAGAGTACACATGTACACTAACGTTTTAAAAAACATCATTGCTTTAGAAATTGTTACATTTATACAACTTCAGCAGGATTAGCAATACTGCGAAGCAGACCAGTGCACACATGTAGACTCGCATACCTTTGCATTTCCTACCTGCAAAATAAAGCACAGCATAATATATTTGCAATCTACTCCTATGAATCCTAACATTCATAAGAATTTTTTTCTTAAAAAAAAAGCAGTAATTTACCTGGCATGGTGGCAAGAATGGAATTGTGACAGTACTTTGATCTGCTGCTTTCCTCTTAATATGCCACTTTCACATCACCACAGCCAGTCTAACTTATAACAACAGGGATATGAGTAGTCCCTGCAGCTAGGTTGGGAATAGTTTGGGGGGAAAACCATCCATCCATCCATCCATCCATCCATCCATCCATCCATCCATCCATCCATCCATCCATCCATCCATCCATCCATCCATCCATCCATCCATCCATCCATCCATCCATCCATCCATCCATCCATCCATCCATCCATCCATCCATCCATCCATCCATCCATCCATCCATCCATCCATCCATCCATCCATCCATCCATCCATCCATCCATCCATCCATCCATCCATCCATCCATCCATCCATCCATCCATCCAATTTGTCACCGCCCATCTCACTGTCACAAATCAGTCACAAACAGCAGCCCCATTGTAGCTGGAACAGTTGAGACACTCAGAATAATGCCAATTGCTAAGTTTTATTTCATGCTTGGTTCAGACTTTGAAACACATTCTTGAAACCTATGTTTTGGGGTCATGCTTAGTACGCTCAAAAACAGCCATTTCAGATTGAAATATGTTCACATTTTTAATGCTAAACTAAGCCAAATCATACAAAATCATGTCTGTCTGGTGCATTGTGTTATTAAGCAGACCAAAGCCCAAGTTATCTTATCATGGCAAGAGCTTGTATTGGTTTGCTCAGTTCAAGAAACTGAGAGAATCAGGATCATCAGCAGTCTAGGCTGGAGCTGAAGATGGAGGCCATGGGCCATTGTTGTCAAGGTGTCTTCACAACTCACTCTTTCTTCCCCTTCTCTCAGAGTTTATCTTGTTTTTCTGGTAGATCATTCTGGCAGCTTCCAGACTGAACCTGGAGGACTATGTGTCTTTCTGTGTATTAGTGGACAGTTACATTTCTAAGGTATAACCTGATGTAGACTTTTATAACTGAGTTGGGTGTATGGACTTGTAGAGCCCTGAAGAAAAAGCACAATCCTTTTTGTGTTATGTGACTTCTCTTTTTCTTGCAAATCTGCCCTCAGGTATCAAACGGCTTCTTTCCACAGCTGAGTTCAGACCTCGAATATGTATTGTAGGCAGTGGACCAGCTGGATTCTACACAGCACAACATCTCCTGAAGGTAATGGGCATATTTATAAGGACAAAAATGTGGGCTCTTATTCCTTGCTAGTTTCTGGAGGTACTGGGAGCCTGTGATTAGTTTGGGAAGACAGAGTTTCCTTAATGTAGGAATAGGCAATCTTTGGCTTCCATCATTCCTGTCATTATGGCAGTGGCAAAGAATTCTGGGTGATGTAGTCCACATTGCCTATTTCTGCCTTTATGTGTGCTTTAATGAATTAAGACATGGCTGGAGGTTCCTGAATTATGCCACAATCTAGCATTGGCATTAAAAAAACCTGGTTCCAAGGCTGAATATTGTAACATCTCATTTAAATTTGAGTAGCCTCTCATTTAAATTTGGATGGCCCCTCCCTAAAGCCTTGAAGACCTGGCTTTCCCCAGGCATTGGGCCAAGATGTTGGATGAGCCCATCTTGCAGTGGTTTGGGAGCATGAGATACGATTGTGGTTTGGGTTCAGCTGCATTATGTCTTTTATTGTTTTTACTCTTGTTGGTTCTTTTTGGTTCTCTATTTTAACCCTTTGCTAGTTGCCCAGAATGGCAATTGTGAGTTGGGCAGCCACAGAAACATCTTGAATGAATGAATGAATGAATGAATGAATGAATGTGTGCGTGCATGTGTGCATGCGTGCATGAATCCCTGTTTCCAGGAACCAGACTACTCTAGAAAAGTAGGACTTGGTAAGAGAAAGGAAAAAAAAGGTTTTCTATCTTGCTGATTAGCATTAGTAGGCAAATTTCCAGGGAATATCAGAGCTGTAGGCTAGACTGGGAAGTTGAAAAAAAAATCCCCAAAGAAGACAGCAGCAAAGCATTTCTGCATTGCAGCCAAGAAAATTTTAAATTTGGGTGCCAGCATAAAGGATCTTGGTGAGAACAGAACAACTTTTCACCCTGCTCCCATTTGTTCTTGGATCTGCCTGTTTTATCCCAGCAAAAGACTACTTTGTGTGCACATCCTTTTAAAATGAAGGACAAATTGACCCCTTTTCCTGTTGGACTAATTAATGATACTGAAACGCTGTTGCCTGTTGACAATCCTGGAGAGGCTTATAAGAGCAGTAAAGGGAAACTCTAATGCATGCATGCATGCATGCATGCATGCATT